ACACACACACACCCACACACACACACCCACACACACGTGTACACTGAGTGACCGCAGACAGTGACACATCTGTGGGATGGCATGTGGCATGGACTTATGTGTGTGTTGTTTCTGATGTCATCTCCTAGACCTAGATTCCCACCATGGAAACACATACTGAAAAAAACCTTCACATTTTTAAATTTCTTTTTGGTCCGTTTGCTTTCCAGCTCACTTAGATTTCCATTCCTCAGCCATTGTTGAATTCTTTTCAGAATTTTTTTTTATGCCGGTATACTAGGTCTCCTTAGTTTGGTGGGTTTTAGTACCAGTCAAGCAAATGACCAAATAGATCTATATATATTATACCCTTTCTTTTCATTGAAGATTGGGTGCACCAGAAATTCTGGAATGAAAAATGACATCTTGTCATGTCGTCCTCATGTCAGTGTCCATGCCATTTCACATCCTGAAGCAACCCTTCTGATTGTATGTAAAACAAACTGTATTTGTAAATAGCTCAACTCTGGGAACAGCAAGGAAGAAAATATGGCAATATTCCTATAGAAATAAACTTGTTCATACATACACATGCTGTTTGGGTTGTTATGTTTTGATTACGTACAAGTATTTGAAGAAAGAATAGCACTTGTGGATGGTTGGCGAGGGCTGTTATGTTTTGATTACGTACAAGTATTTGAAGAAAGAATGGCGCTTGTGGATGGTTGGCGAGGGCTGTTATGTTTTGATTACGTACAAGTATTTGAAGAAAGAATGGCGCTTGTGGATGGTTGGCCAGTGCTTTGTTGTGGTTTGCTCCTTTTTTCCTACCAAACATCTGTCGTCCTTTTCTCTCCTCCTTCTGTTTTTGTGTTTGTTACTCTCTTGTAACACCTCTAACCTTTGGCACTTTGTGACCTTATTGTGTTGCAAGTGCCGTAAAACTCTCACTAAAACTAATGGCTATGTCTTTAGCCTAAATAAGATAAGATACATCTTTATTGTCTCCAGACACATTGGTTTGGTGTTTCACCACAAACACATACACGCACACACACACACACACACACACACACACACACACACAAACATGCACACACACACAGTATGCTTGCACTCACAAACAGGCTCACAGTCACATGCATAATACGTATAAATGAACAATAATATAAACAATGATAATGTTAAGCTTGATACATACTCAGTATTACAATAAATTACATTTCATTCAGGAATAATTATGGTGGGCAAAAGATCATAGACAGCACTAGGCTGAGTTAGGGCAGGCTATTGAAACTGTTACTCAACTGTACAGTAGACATCATATAAACGGGAGACGGATGCAACCACGACAAAATGGCAGAGGATGATCGTCAGTAATTTACAGCCAAATCAGCACAATTTAGATCTTTTAGTTAGAAGGCAGATGTTCTCTGTTAGCTCATGCTGGACTACGGAGCGGATGACCCTGGTTTGAATCGTTGTCTTGGTGTCAGTGAATTGGACCGCCTTGTGGAGTTTTCAGGTTCTCAATCCACTTGATGGGGTCCTATCAGAGAAGAACGTTAAATTCGGAAGTCCTGTCTCTTAAATAAGCGGTTAGTGCGCTCATCTCCGAAGCCGAAAGTCCGGGTTCGAACTTCGATTCGGAGACGAATTTTTTTCGCCCCTCCTGCCCACCCAGCAGTAATGTGTACCTAACTTCGAGTTGGGGAAGTAAAGGCGGTGTGGAAAGGAACTGGCCATCCTACCACAATATGACGAAGGCCCAGGAAGTTGTCTCACTAACAAGGCAATCCCCAATGTCCGGATCAGATGCGGGAACAATTTTACTTTACTGTTGATAACGGGCCTGTGCTTTAATGTTAAACCCATACACTTTGGCAGGAGGCAGGCTGCTTCAAACCTTCCTGTCTAGGCTACCCCGGCCTGTTTGGTATCTTTCTTTTCAGCCCAACGATGGTGACACTTGATAGATGATTTATTTCCACTTGTGGTGAATTAAATTTTATCTTCAGCACATATTGTGACCTTGAATAAAAGCCCGTGCATTGCAGCGTATCCATGTTGAAATCTA